GAGTCTATAGGGGCAGAAATCGCAAGGACGACAACCATGTATATATAAAGGCAGAGAAAGCAGCGCATTCCAGAGAAAGTGCCTACATTAAGTGGCACATAAGAGGCTGCTTCCCCGATTAATTCTCTCAATGGGGAATCTTAGGAGTTAAGTGGGGAGAGCATTGGCCAGTCCTTGCTGCTTACCTTCCGGGCAGCGTTAAGCTCTGGAACCCCTGGCCACAAGATGTCTTGAGGTGTCCTGCTTGTGCTGCTGCTGCTAATGGCTTTCTCCCCTCCTCCTCCTCCTCCTCCTCTTCCTCCTCCTCCTTCCCGCCCTGCAGGGATGACGTGCCAAGCCCGCAGCTCTTACCTGGTGGACGAGGTGCTCTGGGGCCACCGCTTCATGTCCGTCCTTTCCCTGGAAGACGGCTTCTACGAGGTGGACTATAACAGCTTCCATCAGACTTTCGAAGTCCCCACGCCCAGCTGCAGCGCCCGGGAACTTTCTGAGGCGGCTGCCCGCATGGATGCCCACCTCTACTGGTCCATCCCCAGCCAGCTGGACGAGAAAGTGGAAGAGGGGACGGAGAAGGGAGAGGAGAAGGACGAGGGGGAGAAGGACAAGGAGGAGGGAGAGGAGGAGGAGGAGGAGGAGGAGAAGGAGAAGAAGAACGGGAACCTCACCAGCACGGAGAGCGAGTCCAAGGTCTAGCCGGAGGAGCCGAAGCGAGCCAAGAAAGCCAGAGGACCCCAAACTGGACGTGGGCGGCCTCGCTGAGAAGAGCCGGATCAAGAGGGGAGGAAGGCAGGAAGGGCAGGGACGCCGGACTGGGAAAACCCAGGAGCCCCAGCACAGGCCGGACGTCCCGCTGGCCAGTGAACGGATGGCAGCATTTCCGGAAGGGCACCCGAGTCCAAACCCTGCCAAAGCAGCTGGTGGTGGAGGGAGGATAGGAGACAGAGAGAAAACTGGGGAGTGACGTTAAAGGCGCCCCTAAGCATACGTACACTCCCCCCTGTATAAATGCAGGCCAAGAGGCCACAAACGCGGGTGACAAATAAAGGGATAATCATGGAATTCGAAGGCTAGTTCCCTGGACACGCTTCAGCTCCACGTTAGCCAGAGGGAGGCGATCCTCTGTTTGGAGCGGTGGGTGATGATGGGTGGAGGGAAGAGCCACGGAGCAGCGGCAGCTCTATGGGAGAGAGAAGGGGGGGGCCCGAAGGGGACGGGTGTCGGAATGGGGCAGGTGTCCCCTCGGAGGCTCCCGATCCTGTTCCTGCCGCTACGGCAGTCGGCCTTTCCATGCATCCTCCTCAATCCTCCTGCTTCCTCTTTCTCCCCCCACCCTCTATCTTCCCCTCCCTCTTAAATAAACAACAACCACAACCCAAAAATGGCTTTGAGAGGGCTCAAAGGGTGGCCTTTGTCAGCGCGGTCTCTTGGTTTCCTGCATGGACCTATTTGGAGATTAGAACCCCCACCCGCAAAGGAAGGGGCCCAGCAGAAAGATGGTTTAAAAGAAAACAAAAACCCAAAGGCAAACCCGACATTATCTCCTCTCTGTGCTGCTTAGGAACTTGCTGGAATCAGATAAGGGAAGCTTCCTTCCAGGGGAGGGCAAGTTGGCGCTTCATCCAGTCCTCCTCCCGCAGAGGTATTTTAGAAAAGAAGGCCAGTGAAAGAATACCAGGTGGTGTGGTGGGGGGGCGGGGTGGGGGGGCTGGTGGGGCAGAGGGAATGCCATTCCTTTGCACTTGGTGCTCCCCCCCCCCCCCCGCCGCGAC